ACGGCCAGGCCGCTACCGTGCTGCCACCTCCCTCGCCGGGATACGCTCGGTCCGACGCATCGTCTAGTCGTCAAGGTCGTTCGTCAAGCGTTGCTTCATCGGTGCTTCTGCGGTCCGGACAGTGCTGTACAGTGAACTATGCGTGCGACTTGTCGTGCTGACGACTGTGGTGTGTGACGATAGCTAGCAGCAGCTTAATATCCATGATAGCATAGATGCGTGTGTGTGTGCGTGCGTGTGTGTGTGCGCGTCCATGCGTGTGCATGCGCATGCATGTGTGTGCGTGTGTGTCTGTGTGTGTGTGTGTGTGTGTGTGTGTGTGTGTGTGTGTGTGTGTGTGTGTGTTAGTGTCGTAGTTGTGTTTTTGGTAATAGTAATGTGTCTGTTAGTTGGTTTTTAGCGTAATTTATCATCAAAGAGTAAAAGTGCTCGATTGTGTCCTTAAATGCAAGTAATTTACGATTGCAGAACGATGTCATTTTGTAGTCGATTCGTATTTTGTTCTTGTTTCAAAATTACTTCTATACATGTGCATTGATACTGGGGCTAAAGTTATTATCACCTGCCATGTTAAATTAATTAATTTTTTTATTCGGCTACCATTTTAATCGTGTAATGCATGCACCTTCACTTTCCCCAACTCCCCATAAGTTATTGTACTACTGTCAATTCCATTTACACACCGAGTTTGTGGCTGTAACTCTATGTTCGTACATTCACAGGAAGCTTAGGGATGTTGAACCTGATATCGTAAGTAATAATATATTTTAACGTATGAGGATAGCTGCTGTAAATCATTGAAAGTTAATTGGTAGAATTATAAATTCTGAGCAAGAGATTGAATGATTTGGAATGGGTTGGTATTGGCACCCTTGAGAAGAATGACAATAGACTCAACCAGTGAGTTAAAGACAGAGTAATGATGAAAAAACTTAAGAAAATAGCATAAGAAAGATTAGGATCATAAAGTACACATTTTCGAGGGCTTATCATAGTTGATATTATCAAATTAGATTGGCTACGATAAGCTCCTGATATTTGATATTGGCATGCAAATACTCAGGTAATTTTGAAAAATATTTAAGTGTATTTACTTAGAGTAAAGTTGTTTTTGTATATTTTTATTATGAATTTTTTATTGAAAATTATGTGAAATAATTGTGTAAAATTGTACGAAAATTATGGTGTACACCATCAGATATACAACTATGTGTAGGTTATGAAATTTGAGTAATAAATTTTATCTTTTAATCAATCTTTTCCATTGTTTTGGTCTAATTAACATCAAAGAGAAATTAGAAGAGAGAATCTTCCTGAGATTTTGTGAATAGCATGTAAGACCGACATCATTTTTAGGGGCAGATCCATAAATTATGACAGGAACATGTCTGGTGGTTTGCGAGAGGGGAATTGTGGGTTGGGTGGGTGGGGGTACCCTCAGTTTTCGAAAACAATTGCAATTTGATTGACATTGACTATATATATTTTTCATTTTGAAGTACTTTATTTTATTTTTACCTGAAACAAAATTTCGCAACATGGAAACAAAAATCAGGCATGCAGTGACAAAGGGGAAGGGAACCTCACGTGGACCTCTCTTTGGATCTGTCCCTGCAACTAAAATATGGGAGCCATATAGACATAGTCACGATCAATTTTTAACCATGAAACGTAGGTAACATTTTGTCGATATTTGTAATCGACTTGGGTACGCAATTACGTGAAGAAAACATTTGTACGTATATCGAACACGTATGATTAGGTGTCCAGGGAGGTTTAATGGTGAAGTATAGTACAGATATATAGATGCTTATATTTAATATAGCTCCACCACTGTTCAACCATAGTCATACAAGTCGCATATGTATCATACAAGTTTTACAACATACATACCTTTGAACAGCAAGATACAAAAAGTCAACTGCAAAAGGCATGTATGCGGATACGTAAAAATGCATAAAATTTATTTCTAGCAGAACATTTACAAAGTTTAATAAATGCAACACGTTGCAACAACTATTAAATTGCCAGAAGCTGCAAACTAAAAAAATATTAGACAAGAACAGATAAGTTATATAGAGCATATGTATTTGGAAGGTCTGCATATAGAACATGGGTATTTGTACTGGCTAACTTTTATAAGGAACCTGTGCTTTCTATTAGCTGAACATCCTACGAGAGTAGATGTAGACATATAAGGCAGCAAATATGTCTTCATATTCGAAATGTGCATTTATCACGAGTTAAATGTAACCTCAACTAGGCATATATGATATATGTTATGCTAACGATAGCCAGCACATACGTACATGACTTGTGATAACTTATGCCTAACTACGTCATCCGATAACATGTTATATGACAGTGGTAACATTTCACACCAGTGCACTGAATGATTAAATTCTGTTGGAACACGTTCGAATATAACCGTCGATTCACCGTTTTACTGTAAAACACAACAAACGAGAAGAAATGTATAATATAATCAACACAATAAATGCAACAATACATCACAGTAAACTTGTTTCTATTCACCTGCGAGTGCGCCACTTAATTACTACCAATTACTTTGATGCAAGTTAGTGTTTTTCAATATAAGAAATAATTTTCTTTAAAGATTCAATGACGGATCACACAAAACAACAACATTAAAAACGTAACGACCATCCTGCCTTCGTATGTATACAGTACGAACACAAAACGCACGTATTTCCGTTATCCTGCACTCAAAGGTGCGTAAAGTAATTATTAATGAAGAAAATCCAAGCTAACGTTCATCGTTAACCTAACAAACGTGTGAACCAGTTTAACATTCAGAAAGTAACTTAATTAACTTAATTAATTAAGTTAACCACTCAATTGCATTCTGCAGCAAGTTTGCAAATACTATAGCCGGCTTCAGGGCGCAGGGATACCAGACAGTTACACCACGAAACAGGTGAATGCGAGCGAATGGTGGAGACATTCGTTGTATGTCGATTATTCGATTGCGAAGCAATTGGAAGAACAAAAAAAGACGAGACTGCCTCAGTGTTGTGTAGACATCTGGTAAGAAGCCCTTACGAGATCTCGTGCCTGGCAGTGTGTAAAATGGTTAGGCAGTTTTGGGAGAAGTCACTAGACCCGGCCTTTTTCATAAAATGTTTAGACTTTTGACTACGCACGAAACAAAGTAGAACGTTGACCATTAGGATAGCAAAGGATATATATTTTTTGATGCTACACATTGATAGATGCAGTTGCTATGCACCACACTGTCACGTACGTATACAAATCAACGACCACGTACGTGTGTAAAATGTCAAAATGCTTCACTCAAAACATTTACTGAGGATACGACGCATGGTAGATTTACCTGCTGTGCTGAGGACACCGTGCATAGAGCGACCACCTCACATTAACCTGTCTCACTGCATTCGTAAATATGCTAAATTATAATAGGTATAACTATCTATCCGAGGACAGCAAGCATGCCAAGCCTATCAAACTGCGGTTCTTTCAGTGTGATCACTCACACGTCATAAATCTGCCTAGCTACATCATTCATCCATTCCCCACCGTTTAATCTGCCTCGTGTTCACTCCCGACACCCATCACTTCCATACGATCTGCTCTGCAAATAACGGTAACAGTTTAAAACATAACATAAACCAAGTCATCCTCTCCAGTTGCATCACAGTTACAGGGCATGCCACGCATGACAACACAGTTATAAGCAGCTTAGCAAGGCCCAGTCAGGCACAATTGACAACCTTGCACCCGCGTCAGACAACCGGGGATCTACTGGTCTCGACTGATTACGGATGTGCGCTTACGAGAAGTGTGTGACATCGCTGATGTGGCTAATCACACACACGTCTATCCCGCCCTGCCAGCTTCCCATTTCCCCACATCGTTCTTCTCATCCTCCTCATCCTCATCCTCCCTCTCTCCTCCTCATCTTCCCTTTCTTCCTGCACATCTCCCTGCTTCTTCTCATCTTGCATTGCTCATAATATTTTGCTCCCGTCCGCCTTACATACGAGAGACGGTTTCACCTATTCTTCACTTGTCCTTCTTTGACTGTGAGGTGCCAGCTGATTGCTTGTCATCAACTTGCACGTTTTGGAATAGGGTTCGCAGGTCCGTTAGAGCGCGTCCAATGTTGTCGCTGAAGCGGGTCGAGTCCTGCGAGAGAGCAAGTGAGAAACGTTACCAACCACGACCGTTAAGCGGGGGACACACCATGCAAATTTATTCGCACGTCCGCAGCGATTGTAAAATCGCAGCGAAATTCGCATGGTGTGTCCGCTCAAGTGCGGGCGAATTTTGCTGCGAATTTCATCCGCACCGAAATTCGCAGTGATCAAACATGTTTGATATTTTTCGCTGCGGACGTGCGGACGTGCGGACATGCGAATACATTCGCATGGTGTGTCCCAGGCTTTACACAACAGCCGCGTGTACAATACATGACAATTGTGTGCTAAACAAACCCCCACAACCCCCGTGCACCAGTGTGAACATCGCGATTCCAGTCTCAAGTGCACACCTAGTACGCTCCACACCAGTCTCTTCCCATCCAATCTGTCGTTCTACTACATGTAAAATCCAGCACTAAACCCCCAACAACCCCTGGCAACAGTGTGAATCTCACGATTATCTCAAGTGCACCCCGAGTGTATTCCTAGCAGGCCAGCCTTCTACCCTTTAAGTAGAAGATCACCGTAGGTGATCACTACTACGTGCTCCCTAAACAAGCGGCCGTTCACCCACACCCGCGGCACAAAGCTAGTGTGTCGCCCCCTGGAGGTGGCGACACGGACACCTACTTCGACGCTCTCTAAACAAGCGCCTGCGGCGCAAAGCTACGGCGTCGCCCCCTGAAGACGTCACCCAAAGCTACGGCGTCGCCCCCTGTCGAACCCGTGGCACAAAGCTACGATGTCGCCCCCTGGCCAACCCGTGGCGCACGTCTACGGCGGCGGCGCGGAAACCTACGGTCGTGGGAGACGACTTCTTGCTGGAGACGTGGAAGAAGAGCATGTTCTCGCTGGCGATGATGTAGGAAACGCCATATCCGTCGTCGGCGACCGGTCCGAACCCCCCGCCGGGACAGATCTGCTCGACGACCTGCTTTTTCCACAGGTCCGTCTGATTATGCGGCGTCTGCAAGCGTGGCAGCGGAAAGAAACTTAGCAATGAATAATAATAAACTTAACAAAAATAATAATAATATAATATATTATATTATTATTATATATTATAATTAGATATTATATAATATCAGGAGTCAATGCCATATAGGATAGTTTACAATATATAAATAATAAGACTAATAACAGCAAAGATAGCTATAACAATATAAACCACTCCGTACGCACGTATTGATACGCGCACGTAGATGACGCACGGGTATAGCGGCAGGTATGTTCGCGCTGACGACCCACCTGACTAGTTGAAAGTCTCCACGGTTCACCGAGCACCTCCTGTAAGAACGGAGAGTCGACCTCTAGGTAGCGTGAGACGACGTAGAGGCAGAACAGGTGTCTGTCGACGCCCTTGCCCGTCATGGCGTCGCGGTAGGTAGTGACGTGACGTTCTGTGGCAGCCTTCAGTAGCTTGACCCGCTCCTCGTTCTGTCAACGTCAAATACATACGACGATATACCTCTGAACGTTGATCTACACGCCCGACAGAATCTTAGTTCACCCACATACACGCACGCACATACGCACGCACGCACGCACGCACGCACGCACGCACGCACGCACGCACGCACACACACACTCACGCACGTGTGTATATATATATATATTGCATTTTTTACTGGGATTTTGCATCAAAAACGATATCAGCAAAGAGAGAAAGCCCTAACTTTCGGAGAGTATACCATGTGCTTGGTTTTCAATCGCATATCTTGTATTGAAATTGGTTGACATTGGATGACGAGTCGGTTCGGAGCGATTCCTGCATGTCTGATGACATAAGTATGATTGGATAACAGACTCACCGTCTTGCTGGGGTCGTCCATCGCTCTCACGAACGCGCAGGATTCCGAAGACACCGGTCGCACCGTTTCCGTCCTGCCTTCCCTGAACAGCCGCGTCATGGACGCCTCGTAGGTCAGGTGAAACTTGCCAGAATCCTGCGTCGAGGGGACGAGCAAATCGGTGATTCGAGCAGCAGGCGAACACGTGCGCACACACAGGAACGCGTGTTTTAGGGTGGGGATAGCATGGGCTGGGGGTGGGGGTGGACCTATGAGGCCTGATATGCATTAATTTAATTATTTTTCATTTCATTTAAAAGGCAGTTTAAAATTGACTTGGTTTTAGCTTCACCTCTCAGTTTCATGCATCTATGTTTGCCTTTAGCTTTCTTGTAGTTCTTCTAGTAGTTCCCACCCTTTGTGACACACTTTCTGACTCTAATTTGGGCAGCAGGCGTATGTGCGCACACACATACGATGCTGTTTCATTTAATTTTTTTAAATTTCATTTTAAAGACACAATTTTAATTTGACTTTCATCTTAGTTTTACCTAGCACTTCTGTGTAGCCATTTTCATCCCCAGTGAAAATAGGGGGTGAATTTAACACTTCTGACACTCACTCTGTAATAAGCCAGCTGCAGCGCCATCTGTATGTAGGCATCAGGACTAATTTTGCACTTCTTGATGAAGCCTTTGCCGTACTCGTTGGGCTGGGGTCCGAAGATGCGCAGCCGCAGGTCCACATCTGCGCAGATGCTGGCTGCCAGCTGCTTCTGTTGCTCGATGATCGTGATGCACTGCAGCATAAAACATTTACATAGAACGTATACGTGATGATACATATGTATATATATATATAAATATATATATCATATGCATAATGTCAAACCTTAGTCAGCAGATACCTTCATAAAATGAACACCTGTCGCCACGGCTAACGCTCCATTAGGAGTGTTCCCAACTTTGATATCATTAATGATTAATGATTATTGATTAAGGATTGATAATCCTAACCCTAACCCTAACCTAAATGACATATGACCATGACCATATATATACATATGTTATTATGACCATTAATGACATTAAAGATGGGAACACTCCTAATGGAGTATCACCCCTATAAAGGACACCCTCTTAGGGTGCCCCTTGAGTGGGAGTTAGAGAGTAGAACTAACTGAGATAAAAGAGACAAAAGATCAGGCAGCTCACTGCAAAAGATTCGACTAGACCTGAGCTATATCAACTGACAACTAAAGCGCAGCGTTCTTGATGCCTTACCAGATAGGCAAGGACACTAGCTGCACTACAATAAAAACACCGCACAATCGAAAAACACAATAAGGAATGTGTGCATCTCTAAACACAACCCCCGATAACAAGCTAAGAACCGACAGTCGCCCATTCTCGACCGCGCCAATACAAACTCATTTAAGATAGTTTAGCTCGTTGTTCGACAACCTGAGATTGAATACTTGTCAGGAATTACACAGAGTAGAAGATAAGAAGCGAGAGCGGTAGTGTTAGACTCACCTCGTCTGGCACATCCCATTTCAGTCTGGTCAATTGAGGTAGGTCGTTGGATACCTCTCCCTTGCAATGTCCATCCTCCTTGTATCTGTTGTACCCACAAACAACCCACACACATCATCATTCACTCTGTGTATCGTGCTACAATCCGAATTAGTGCATTCGTTCACGTACAAAGCTACACAAACGTCAGTGTCTATATATATATAGAAAGGAGAAAAAGACATGTATATATAATATGTGTGGCACACGTGAACATGCGATAACTTTGTAGCAGATTTTCTGGGAACGGCAAATTCACCATTTTCTATTGACATGCAGCTATCGCCTCTCCCAAACACCGCTACACCATCTATTCTAGTATAATATTTTGAAAGCAAGCTTGTGACATGACAATACACGTGTTACGAAACATTATAGTCTGCAATTCTGCTTTCCTTTGTTGCTGTAATTTCATCCACTTTCAATAACTTGTGGAAATAATCAACTTCAGAAACCTAGACAGAGCTGTTTACAATGTGTTTCATATAACTGTCAACCACTAAAACACCAGTAGTGTCCTCACCTAGATAGCAACCATGAATCGATTGATTATAGAATTATATCAATCATGATGATATATTGAATATGTTATCCGCGATGGCTCAGCAGTGTGTGGCAGAAACCAACAAAATATACTTAATTCAGACACACGTGTATTGTCTGCTACTGAAGCTGAAGGAGTCGTTGTCGTATCAGGTACTACAGATATGTACCCGAGGTACATATATGTATACACAAAGTGTACCAGACTTGTATTACAGAAGTGTACCCTAACCCTAACACTAACCCTAACCCTAACCCTAACCCTAAACATACCTCACATAAAAATATTAACATAATACTAAACAACCTAAAACTACCTCGGGTACATATCTGTAGTACCTGATACGCAACGACCCCATCTGCGCTACTGAAGCAAGCATGCATACAAACACAGCCACGTGCACCTACATGCATCTATGTACATTCACAACATATATATATGCATATATGCATATTCACACATGCGCAATCACTGGTTACACACGATGTATTTATTAATTTTAATTTTAACTATATAAAGTTTAGAATGATGAGACACGACTCGATTGAAACAATACTCTTATAATCTTACTTCAGAGTTTATAAAAAAGAATTATCGTAAATTCTTCAAAATTAAATCAGATACATCAACACATCATAATCCTGACAACAGAATCACATTGGTTGCAATAATAACATACAATCATCTAGTGCTGGTAACTGGCTACTGTTCACAACTTTCAACGTTATCACAATCGTAGAAAACGGAAATCTACCGTATGATGACCCGTTCCCCTAAAATGGCCAAACAAAACAAAAATGGCTATACTCTGGAGAGATGCCCCTCCCCCGTTTCCCTAAAATGTACAAAATAAAAATGGCCATAATTTTTAAGATCGATTATTTCGCAGACAAGCATGAATCAGCATTTATTTGCACTTACAAAAGACACTGAGCTGTTTCCCCAGCGCACAAACTGTGTGTTTGTGATGACGTGGACCACTGTGAACAGCCTAACAGTGCAGTGTTGTGTTGTGTGGTGTGGGATAGCGTGGCGTTATGTGGTATGCGGTGGAGTGTAGTGATGTGTGGTATGGTGTGGCATGGTGTGGCATGGTGTGGCATGATGTGTCGTAGCGTGGCACGTGGATGTGTATGTGGGTGAAGTGTATGATGTGTGGTAGGTGGGCATGGTGTGGCAGGTGTGCATGATGTGGTATTGTGAGATGTAAGTGATGTGTGGTATTGGTGGGTAGTGGTGTGCATGGTGTGCATAGTGTCGTGCGGGCGTGACTGTGAGTATGCGGTGAGTGGCTAGTGATGTGTGGCAGTGGTGTGGGCATGGTGTGGCATGGTGTGGCATGGTGTGGCATGATGTGTCGTAGCGTGGCGTGATGTGGTATGTGGTGGAGTGTAGTGATGTGTGGCATGGTGTGGCATGGTGTGGCATGATGTGCATGATTGTCGTACGCGTAGCGTGTGGGTATGCGATGGAGTGTAGTGATGTGTGGTATGGCTGTGGGGTGTGGCAGTGGTCGTATGGTTGCGGCGTGTAGTGCTGCGCGTGGGTGGATCGGTGGGTGTGATGTGTGGCATGTGTGGGCATGGTGGGCTGGTGTGGCATGATGTGTCGTAGGCGTGGCGTGATGTGGTATCGGTTAGTATGGTGTAACCTAGTGTATTGTATTGTTGTGTCTAGTGTGGTGTGGTGTGGTGTGGTGTGGTGTGGTGTGGTGTGGCGCCGGACTGGTGTAGTGTGGCGTGTTGTGGTGTGCTGTGGTAGGTGTGGTGTGTGTGGTGTGGTTGTGTTGGTGTGTGGTGTGGTGTGGTGTGGTTGGTGTGGTTGTGGTGTGGTGTGGTTGTGTGTGGTGTGGCATGGTGTGTGTAGTATGTGTGGTGTGGTGCGCTGTGCTGTGCTGTGGTGTGGTGTGGTGTGGTGTGGTGTGGTGTGGTGGTGGTGTGTGTGGTGTGGTGTGGTGTGGTGTGGTGTGTGTGGTGTGTGGGTGGTGTGGTGTGGTGTGTGTGGTTGGTGTGTGTGGTGTGGTGTGGTTGTTGGTGTGGTGTAGTATGGTGTGGTGGTGTATGCAGTGTAGTGTAGTGTGGGTAGTGTAGTGTGGGTAGGTAATCTAGTGTGCGGTGTGGTGTGTGTGGTGTGTGTGGGTGGTGTTGGTGTGGTGTGGTGTGGTTGTGTGGTGTGTGTGTGGTGTGGTGTAGGTATGGTGTTGGTGTGGTGTGGTGCGCTGTGCTCTGCTGTGATGTGGTGTGGTGTGTGGTGTGGTGTGGTGTATGGTGTGGTGTGGTGTGGCGTGGTGTGGTGTAGTATGGTGTGGTGTGGCGTGGTGGTGTGGCGTGGCGTGGCGTGCGTGGCGTGGCGTGGCGTGGCGTGGCGTGGCGTGTCTGTGCTGTGGTTGGTGGGCTGTGGGTGGTGCGCTGCGGTGTCGTGGGTAGTGGTGGTGTGTGTGGTGTGATGCAGTGTAGTGTAGTAGTAGTCGTAGTGTAGTGTAGTGTAGTGTAGGGTAGGGTAATCTAGTGTAGCGTAGTGTAGTGTAGTGTAAAGTAATGTGGTGTAGTGTAGTGTGGTAGTGAGCGGTAACTTACCCGCCTGAATCCAGGTCGCTTATATGCTCCCACGTGAAGGAAAAAATCGGTGAATCTGCCCTGTGTTCGGCAAGGGAGCGAAGGACAACAGCAGGAAGGAAGGGATCACATGGGCAACGAAGAAGTGTTTAACACGCGGAGTTGTAGCAAGCAACACGAAAGCCCGGAACAGACAAGGTCAATGTCAAGTTGCGACAGCAAGAGTTAGTAGGGCACAGAAAAATGTGGGTGAAGTCGAGTTTAACAGATGGAATAACAGTGGTTCATGCGTAATATTAGGAACAGGAGGAAATAGTGTTTGGAAGTAGCATTAGTTGATGGCATAAGAAACAACAATGATTAGTTTGTAATATAGGGAAAAGCGAAAGTTAGTGTGAGGTATACAGAATACCCATTAGTCAATGTGTGAAATATGAAACAGCAATTGTTAGTGTGAGTATAGAGAATAGCATTATTCAGTGTGTGAAATACGGAACAACGACAGTTTGTGTAAGGTCAGCAATGGTTGGAGTTAGTTTGAAGGAGGGTATAGAGAATAGCATTAATCAGTGTGTGAAATACGGACAGCAACAGTTTGTGTAAGGTCAGCAATGGTTGGAGTTAGTTTGAAGGGAGGTGTTAGTCAGCGAGTAGAGTAAGGAACAAACAGGAGTTAGTGTAATCCCACAGAACCCATTATGTGTGAATGTAAACAGAACACAAATATACACATACAAAATAATAGTAATAACATAATAATAATAATAATAATAATAGTAATAATAAAGTGAGATGCGACATGGCACAGCAGACAGCATGCGAGTGACGTGACAACACACAGTGAGATACAGGTTCGGACGTAGGCGCAGAGGTAAAAGGTAAATAAAAGCAAAAACAAGCAATTAGAGATTCGTACACAGCTCTGCGATTAGCCGGCACTAGCGTGACTACATGCAGTGGCGGCTTCACAAGTAGCCCTGCGGGGGGAGCCAAGCTGCTGCGAATAACCAGCTGACAACCCGGGCCTCTCTCTCTCGCAAGTGCGACCACGCCTTTCAAGCGCGGCCACGCCCTTCAAACGCGACCACGCCCTTCAGGCACGACCATGCCCTTCAAGTGTGACCACGCCCTTCAAGCACGACCCGCCCCTTCAAGCACGGCCCGCCCTTCAAGCACGGCCGCGCCCTTCAAGTGCGACCACCCCTCAACGGTGACCACGCCCTTCAAGCGCGACCACGCCCTTCAAGTGCGACCACGCCCTTCAAGCGCGACCACGCCCCTCAACTGTGACCACGCCCTTCAAGCGCGACCACGCCCTTCAAGCGCGATCATGCCGCCAGACCCAATCGGTGAGAAAAACGAGAGCAGTGTGAGGCTGCCGCATCGGGCAGGCGAACGCGCGTTCTCGCGCTTGCGAAAAAGTAGACCCGGGGACGTCGGGCCAGCTTAGGGTGCAAGTAGGTAATCAATCGTAAGGTGAATCTACAAATACCCAGGATCGTGTTCATAAGCTATTAGATACTCCCATCCCATTGCATTGATTGGCGCATCACCCCTGCAGAAAGAAGTATAACATATGGACCCGATAATAAGCATACACGTTAACAGATCGTGCTGAATCAGGATCCGCCTATCTATCGCTCGCTCTCTTTACCACGATTCTACATGCAGAAAACGAATGAATTCATCTCTTCACCGTGAGATCATATTACAACTAATAAGCGCAATGATTTAACGATTTCTCTGCCTGTTCCTCCGCAAACCGCGCGGCCGACCGACGACGATTACATCAATTATCGTTACCAAGCGTCCGAAAACTCGGAGTAGAAGTTTGATGAAAAGTAAACGACGTTTCGCACGTACATTCACGACAAAAAACCCGATTCGAGGCTTCCTCATGCGCAGTACGTTTTCGATTGCACGTACAACGCCGAAATAACCGACGTATTACTTAACGACTTTGCAAAAAGTAAACGATGTTTCGCGCGTACATTCGCGACAAACTACTCGATTCGACACTTCCTCACGTTGCAGTACACTTTAGTCTATAACGCCGAAATAACCGCCGTATAGTTTTACCGCGTTTTTCGATCGGCTTCGTTCCCGACGCCGAAATAACCAACAAATTACTTTGCCACGGTTTTCGATCGTTAGTTCGTCGGCGTAGTTTTATTAACGATAATTACCAGGAATGTTCGACGTTGAGGCCGACGCGGGCGTTCTTCAAGACGACGTAGTTGAAGCTCTTGTCGAACCACATCTTGCATCCGTCGCCCGTCAGTACTGTCTGCGCAAACTCGTCCAGCTGTGACATGTCTTCCTGCAACGATGACGCATGTTACATCGCTCTGTCACGCACGCACACACTATCTGTCTACCCATCTATCTACCTGCCCACCTACCAACCTACCTGTCTATCTACCTAACTGCCTGCAGGCACGCACGCACGGACGCACACACTATCTATCTACCTACCTACCTGCCTGCCTACCTACCTACCTACCTGGCTGCCTATCTATCTACCTACCTACCTACCTGCCTGCTACCTGCCTGCCTATCTATTCTACCTACCTACCCCTGCTCTGCCTTATTACCCTACCTAACCTATCCTACTGGCCTGGGCCTTATCTTAGTCTAGCCTACCTACCTGCCTGCCTAACCCTACCTACCCTACCTACGCTGCCTATCTTATCTCACCTACCTACCTATCCGTGCTGCTACCTGCCTGCCTTATCTAGTCTACCTATCTTCTTACCTGAGCCCTTGCCTATTCTACCGAGTCCTACCCTACCTACCGGCCTGTTCCTATGCTGATCTTATTGCCTACCTCTCTGTCCTGCTCCTACTCTAATACGGCCTAGCCATAACTGGCCTGGCCCTAATCTATGGCCTACCTTACCTACTGCCAGCTATTCTACCTACCTACCTAACCTGCCTGACCTATCTGACCTACCTAGCCTAACGTGCCCTGCCTATCTACCCTATCCGCTACCTACACTGCTCTTAGCCTAACCATACCTACTACCTTACCTGGCCTGCCCTAGTCTAGGCCACCTACCGTACCTGCTCTACTCTGTGACTGCCTACTCTATCTACCTCTATACCTTCCTGCCTGCGTCTAGTCTAAGCCTACCCTACGCCCTACCTGCCTGCCGATCTACCATACTACCTAACTGCCTGCCACGCCAGTAACGAACGCAACACTCAACAAGACTATCTGTACTTATCTAGTCTTTCTATCTACTCTATTCTAGTCTGACTATACCTATCCCTAGCCTATTCTGCCTTGCTTCGCCTGCCTAGCCGTGCCATACCTTAACCTATCTATCTGCCTCGGTGCCTGCCTGCCTCTGCGGCCTGAGCTTAGCTATCTTCCTGCCCGCCTGGCCTGGGTTCTTCCATCCTATCTACTCTTTCCGGCTATCTACTACCTTCCAATCTACCTATACATGAATGAAATAAAATAAAATGAGCCAGCTTGTTTGTCATAAATACAGCACCACATTGTGAGTATTGTCACAATTACCTAATAATAAAATGTTGGCATTACATTTACCACACCTGTCATCATCATACATTATATATTATATATCTTCGCACACACTTACCATACTGTAGTCTAGTTCCTTATCGAGTAAGGTAACAAAGAACGCAGCCTTTTCTATTGCATCGAGGGCAGTTTTATTCATTCCCTTGTAGAAGTACATCTGTCGAGCTCCGCCTGCGCCACCGTGAGCGTGGTCCTACACACAAATCACACATATATATATATATGTACATGTAAATCTATGCAGCTGCTCTCTAACAACTTTCATATATTCATGTCTCGTCAATTATCTTTACATCTTGTGACCTGGTTCACATATATAATATTTTCGTCTCTCTCTCTCTCTCTCTCTCTCTCTCTATTTATATATATATATTATCATATATGATAGTGGCGGTCTCAGTGTGCGGCAGAGATAGGTGGACTATAGAAATAAGGTTGTTCGTGGATATAGGGAAATCAGTTTAACCTTAACCCTATTCCTAACTTCCTTAAAATAATAACACAAGATTAGCCAAAAAGTAGCAGTGGAAAAAATAAACCTAAATAAAAGACAAAATTGCCAATCAGAGCCGTCCGTTAGCGGATCACTATCCTTCTCCGCCTGCGGGTGGGCAGGAATTCATATATATTATATATATCTTTTCAATATACATATTTTTCTGTCTATATATAGTACATAGGATATCATGATCATATCCAAAAAAGTTTTCCCACGTACTCAGACATATCGGGCATCGTTAGGGCCATCTTTCAGTGATGAAGTATACGACCCCCTGTTTATAGCAGCCATAAATGTTTACTCGACTTAACTCCAACTGTGCACAGCAGCCAGCGAGTCTTATTCCTCGACTGGGAAGCTCCACGGTGTTACATGCATGCCAAGCGAGTCTCATCTTCGCTCGACTGCTGAACACCCACTCAATGCTCCCTCCTCCTCTCCCGGTGCATGCAACGAGCTGTGCATCCATGCCA